GACGGGGTTCCTCTAGCACTGGGGCCCAGGACAGGGAGGTACACCCACTCCACCTCCTCATGGGAACCCATTCCCCACGGGAGAGAAGGATGTGTCACTGTGACCACATCTTTCCGGAAAACTCCCACAGTTCAGTTCTTTCCGCGGAATTGCACTGGGGAATCATATACTTGCTCAATCTCGTTGGATCTATTTTTGGCCTTGACCGACTTGATGTGGTGGACTGTGCGGGTGTTCCCTTTTAATTTGGGGTCTAAAGCTGTCTGGGGTCTGGACTAGCAATCATGAGTGCAGAGCCATTTATGGAAGCAGCTCTTGAAAAAAGTCGGTAATGAAAACTGACTAAAAATACCTTAGAAATGAAGCCTCCTTGGCCTCCTCTGGACAGTACTGAGATTTCTGGGTGGGAGGGAGAAGCCCTTCAGACGCAGAACTGGTAGGTGATCAGTGCTGCAGCTCCTCCCTGGGCCCACACCAGGCACAGAGACCCGGGTCTTGCTTTAGGTCTAAAGGGGGCACCTCAGCCTTGTCACTAGCAGGACTAGCCAGACGGGACCAGTGTCTCTGCCTTTAGGACCCTCGGGAGCCTGCCCTCCACCTCAGCAGCCTGGCCGTGGGAGGGGGGGCTAGTCCCGCAGCAAAGTGAAGATGTGAGCGGCTTCTGATGGAGACTCGCTGTGCTGTAGAAGCCATTCCCAGACCAGCAGCTGCCCCACTGTCCTGCAGAGCTCGGGAAGAACCTGCAGACACATGCCCTCTCTGGGCCCCCGGGAAAAAGGGAGCTCAATGACAGTCCACTGAGAGCCTCCCGTTTCCACCCCACATGGTACAGTCCTGCCCTTAATTGCTCACCATCCAGAAGGACACATGAACCAGAGATGGGGACCCCTGGGACGGGGGAAAGAGAGAGGCCAGCAGGCTGATCTGTGTGAGGTCAGAGGAGGACGAGGGGCCTTGAAAGCTGGACTGAGAGAAAAGTATCCTTTAGACAGGGCAGAATGGGGGTGACTCAGGAGAGGGCGCTTTGGGGAGGGCCTTCAGGGGAGGGAAGAGGTATCTGTAGCCAGAAGGCCCAGATGAGGTTGGGCCGGGCCAGCTCGGGGGGCTGGGGGGGGCAGAACCAGATCTTGGTCTCCTCCTGGGGACCCTGTGGGATTGTAGAAGGGCAGACAGGTCAGGCAATTCTATTTTCTTAACAGCCACTCTGGGTCGCTTACTTTTGGTCAGAAGCAAGACAGATTTAGGTCCTGAGTGACTCTAAATTTTATCCAGGGCACAAAAATAGCCAAAGCTTTTGTTGGTGTAGGACTGGTGGACTCAGGGTGTGGCATCTGGAGATCCAGCCCACGAGTGGCGCAGGGCCTCAGACACAGAAACGTAGAATGTGGATGGCAGTCACAGAGGGTGGAGGCCATCACGTCCCCACAGCGGGCCTTTCCCAAATGTGGGATCTGGAGGTTGGTTTATCAGAGACTAAAGAAGGCTGAGAGTCCTAACAGCACACGTTGATGATTCATAATTATTTCTTGTTCCGGAAGCCACATTATGGTGATTCAGAAAGTAAATTCGTTTGCTCCTTCCCCAGACAGAAGCTGGTTCAGTGTTTGGTCGTTTGGGGCAGCTTTTATAATTATGTAGAAAATAAACATTTAGAAGTGCCTTTTGAGCCAGGTGTAGCTTCGTCTGTTCCCTAGGCCCACTGAATAATTTGTGTGAGGCCTTTCATATCTCGCCAGTCTATCTTGGGGTTGTTGTGTTAAAGAGTAAATTCGTATGTAATTTTGCCAGGGTACTGCAAAAGGATATTGCCAAATTGTTCTCCAGCACATTCCTACCAGTGATGTGGGAGAATGTTCTTGTCTGCTCTCACCTACTTCTCAAAGGCCACACTGAGCACCCTATAAATCATCCTCTTCTTTTCCGCATTATTGTTGACCCCATAAACCTCCATATTCCACTCAACAATGTAAATGGCATCCCTTGTCTTACTTGTTTTGTTGTTGGTAGTGTTCATATTGTGTCTCCCCCATTAAACCATAAACTCCATCAAAACAGAGACCTGACTTACTCACTGTACGCCCAGTGCTCAGGCGGTCTCTACCTTACCATCGTAAGAACTTAATACATTTGTTTATAAATAGAACTTGATAAAGCAATGAAAATTAAATGAGCAAAGTGATACATTTATTTAGAAAAAAATCATTCCAAATCTCCCCTTCCTCTCCTTCCCATGGCTTTGAAATTCCTGACATGGCCTCTTGAGGGCATCACATCTTGGCACAAATAGGGAGATTGCAAGTCAGGCTCCTCAAACTCATGTTGAAAGGCTACTCCTCCCAGTCCATTCCTGACTGTTTACAAAGCCCTTCCATGGTCCTGTGAGGAAAGCTGGACTGCACCCTTACTCCCCGTTCATGGAGGAGATGAGGCTCTGGCCTGACCACTGCCACAGTTCCCTGTGCTGCCCTGAGCTGCCTCTTTGGCTAAAGTAGTCTTGGCCTGCACTTGGTTAACAAAGGGATGTAGAGGTGCCAGAAAATGATTTCCCAGAACATCAGCTTTTAGAAAATCTTTCTCCTAGCTCAGAGTAACAGCCACTGAAAAGGAGACAAATCTTTAGGTTACCTCTTCCCATCCTCCCAACTGACTGCCAGATGAAGGATCTTTCTTTACCTAGTCCCACACTGCAGGAAATATCACTAATTTCTGATGAAAAGCATCACTTTCCTCACAACGTCCTGGCTTCTGGTGCTTGCCTGGGGGGCAGTTTCCTGTGCTGAGCTGCTGGGTAGTTCATGGATTTCACAAACGCACAAGGTAGAAGCTTGGAACCGGGTTCAATTCCGGTGCACAAGGCTCCCCTGACCCTGCATCCATGGGCCCCCAGGTCAGCAAAGGAGGGAGGCCCCAGAGCGTGGTCCCCCAGTGGAGCTGGCAGGTTTGTGGATTGTCCCCTCGGTCCCCAGATCCGACAGGAAATCAGCCGCAGGCCTGCGGAAGATCGCCTGCAGCCCCACCCGCGCGCCAGCCCCACGGTCTTGGGAGCAGATATGTGTTCACAGATCCGGGTTCGAGGCTCTGCAAGGAGTCTGGTGAAGGGCGGGACGGAGCCACCCTCCTTCCTGCTCTGGGCCATACCCTGTCACAGCCAGCAGCCTCGACCTGGGGCATCCTGCACATCCAGGATTCTTACACAGCCACGGAACAGAGGTGGTCTGTGTGGCCCCTGAATCCACAGAAATTGTCCCCAAAGCTGTGCATGTGGGAGTGTCCATAGTGAGGAGGGGACGTGTGTGGCGGTACTCGTGGCCCACATCCCCCGGTGCGGGACCAGAGCCCTGCAGTCCTCACTCTCCGTGTGTGTGGGAGCACATGGGTCCTTCCCGGGTTCACCACCCCCGAAGCAGCCTGGCTCCCGGCTGCGCATGTGCTGCGTGTTCGCCAACCTGGCGGAGCCCGGCCGTTGGCTTTCTTCGCCACTGCGGTCTCGGGAGGAAGAGCCCACCTTGTCCCGTCACCGTGTGTGTCCACCGGCCCCACCCAGCCCAGCTGTTGGCCTGTCCCTCGCTGGACCCAGTCCCCACTGCGAGGACAGGAAGCGTTCCCCACATCCGCCTCCGCCCCAGCCTGGTGACTTGTGGTCACGGACACCAGAAGCCAGAGAGAGAGTTTTTAAAAAGACTCACAGACGTGTCATTAAAATCTCAGTGTTGGGTTTGGGGGAAGGTGCTGGGTGGCTCCCGCCCCTGCTTTCCGGAAACACAGATTTGTGGCGTTTGACAGTGACAGGAGACTAAAGTGGGATGGTACTAAATATACCATCCTGGGCATTTCCGGGCATGGGGGATGTGGGATTGACTCGCAACCCCAGCCTCCGGCCCAGACAGACCATCCCCGCCTCGGCTCCCCTCCAGCCTGTGCATCCCCTTCCCCTCCGCGCCTGTCTTCCACCCCCGCTTCAAACCACATCGCCCCCCTGCTGCCCAGAACCCTAAACCCCACTGGCCAGATGCACAGCCGGTGCTCCCAGGCCAGAATTCCAGCCCTCCAGAGTCAGACCACAGCGAGACTCAGGGCCAGTCCCCCACAGCGCTGGCCTGTGGACACCCCCGCCCTGCACACCTGTGCCTCCAAGGTCCCCTCTGCCTAGAAGGGCTTCCCCACCATCTTCTCTACCCCACAGGACTCCATCCCATCCTTCAGGGCCAGTTCAGGTGGCACCTCTCCTGGGAAGCTTGCTCAGATCTCACCCATCATGGGACTGTCCAGCTTCTCCGGGACCTGACCAGGTGTCGCCAGGTGCTGTCACTCCTACTTTGCTTCTTCTTTCCATGTCTCCCTCTGACCCTCCTTCTTCCCTCACCTTGTCACCAAACAGGAACTGCCATCCTTTGTCCTTTGCTGTTTGTGGCTGTTGTTTTCCCTGCCTGTGCTATCTATTCCTCAGCCCTAGGCCTTTCTTCAGGCTGGGCCCTTCCTCTGCAGTGTCCTCCCTTGACATTGGGGCACATCCACTCTCAGCCCTTGAGGCCCAGCTCCAGGGTCGGCTGCAAACACTCCCTCTCCCCTAGGCTTCTGTGCACACACATCGGCAGATTCTGCACATCCCCGGCCTCAAAAATGCACTCAGCCCTGTCCCTGTCCACTCTGTGGCCTGTTTCTGCCTTGGGTCTGATGTCAGTCTTCCCAGAGGAGGGACCTGCCCTCAGATTCATCCTTGGGTCCCAGAGCCAGCAGGGGATGGGTGGGGCAGGCGGGGTTGGGGTCTGGGGGCCAGAAACGGAGGCAGCTCTTGCTGGCACCACGGTGTGCTGGGCCCTGTGCCAGACACCTCAGCGCATGGCCCGCCATGCCCTCTCAGCACCAGGAGGCAGAGCTTGGGAGCAAGTCCCCTTGCAGAGGAGGGAGCCGTCCCCACCCAGGCTGCCCAGGGCCCCATCTCCCCCAGCCCCAGCTCTGTCCAGAGCACAAGTGACCGACGGCCCCACTCTGTCTCACAGTGGAGCGTGACCGCACCCTGGGCTACCAGGAGCCCCACTGGAAGGAGTTCCGCTTCGACCTGGCCCAGATCCCAGAGGGCGAGGCGGTCACCGCCGCCGAGTTCCGGATTTACAAGCTGGCCAGCGCCCACCTGCTCAACAGGACCCTGCACGTCAGCGTGTTCCAGGTGGTCAGGGAGCAGTCCAACAGGTGCCTACCCTCACGCCGCCTCCTGCCGAAGCCTGGCCGAGGAGGGGACACTTCCCAGAGGACAGAAGGGGAGCTCCCTGGGGAGTACACCCTCAGAGGCAGAAGGATATTTGGCCAAGGCCTCGTGTCACTGTGGGGAGAGGCCCAGCATAGGTCCTGCTTCACATCCCTGCCGTGCTGTCCCGGCTGTGGGACCATGGGCAGGTCACTGAGCTCCCGAGCCTCGGTTTCCACACCCCTGCTGGGCCCAGTAGCATTTTGTGCAGTACATACAGTGAGAGAAGGCACACGGGGCGCCCACCCCGAGCCAGGCGGGATAGGTGCCCCACGCATGGCCCCCCAGGTGGGCACTGGAAACGCAAAGGCAGCTGTGCCGGCCCTCAGTTAATTGTTTTTTCATGTCCACAGGGAGTCTGACTTGTTGTTTTTGGATCTTCAGACGCTCCGAGCTGGGGACGAGGGCTGGCTGGTGCTGGACGTGACAGCAGCCAGTGACCGCTGGTTGTTGAGCCGGAACAAGGACCTGGCGCTCCGCCTCTATGTGGAAACGGACGACGGTAAGGCTCAGGGTTGGGCAGCAGACCTTCTCCTGGGGGCTCTTCGAGGCTGTTGGCACAGAGCCAGCTGCAACCACCTCCTTTGGCCCTGGAGGCCTGGCCTCTCTCAGCCCAGCGGCTGGGGTGATAATCCCCTAACCACTTTGGGGGCTCATTGGGGTGCAGAAGCCAAGGTTCCCACAGCAGGAGCCCCCTACCATGGTGGTCTCCCTCCTCTCCTTTTGCAGAACCAACATTTCAGTCACTGAGAGAGAGTCCATGTTGTCCCTCCCCAAGAGCAGCCGTGTATGTGGGGCGTGTCCATACTGGGCAGGGCCGAATCGAGGTAGTTACACCCTCAGACTCGGAGCAGAGAGGCCTGGGTTTGAATCCCAGCTCTTCAGCAATCTAACCCGGTTACCTTGGCAGGGTACTTACCTTTGGGGTCTCAGTGTCCTCCTCTGTAGAATGAGGGTTCACATCTTCATTCATTCCCCAGGCAGCTGAGGGAGAACCTCCTTCATCGCAGGCAGTGGAGTGGGGGAGGGAGAGGCAGAAAGTGGGCACAGGATGGTGGATCTGAGCTACAGCAAGGGGCCGCCATGGCTGGAGCTAGGCGGGCAGGGGCGAGGTGGGAGAGGAGACTGAGAGCTTCAGGGCACATTCTGAGTGTGGGTGAACCCCGGCTCCGTGTCAGAGTGTTGAGGGTGGCTCCCTGTATTTCATAGCAATGGAGGATGATGGGATCTGAGTCAGGTTTTTAGAAAAGAGCCCTCTGAGACAGCCCCTGGAAGAGGGCATCACTTACCCCGGTGCTTAGTGAATTAGGCTTCCCATAAGTAGAGTGGGGACAGGGCGAGGAAAGTGAGTTCACAGAGGAGAAAGCTGAGGGCACTACCTCAGTGGGTGACCAAGGCTCATACAAATGTCCTGCACCTGCTGTGTCCCCTTGACATGACAGGATAGGAAGGGCCCTTCATCTTGTGGTCATCCCCCAGAACCCCACCTGACTGTGGGAAAAACATCAGACAAACCCAAATTGAAGGACCTGCTACAGATGCCTGACGAGTGCTTCTCAAAACTGTCCAGGTCGTCAAACACAAAGAAAGTCTGAGAGATTGTAACAGCCCAGGGAGCCTAAGCAGTTGTAGCAATGGAATGCCGTGTGGGATCCGGGATGGGACCCTAGAGGAGAGAAAGGACACTGGGGAAGACCAGTGAGGTCCAAATACATCGTGTTTAATTTATCCTCAGACTTAGTGTTGGTTGTTTAGTTGAGACAAGTGCACGGTGCTAATGTCAATGTTGGCATTTCCTGGGGAAACGGGCCTGAGTATCTGGGAACGGTCTGTACTATCCTTGTGGTTTTTCTGTAAATGTCAGCTGTTGTAAAATAAAAACTTAGTATGTGTGTCCAACAACAGCCCTGCCCCCTACGTCTGCAGGGACCATAGTCTGGGGGGGGACAAGAGCAAAGTCAGAGCAACAGGAGCCACGATCTGCAGGGGAGAGTGGAGACGTGCTTGTTGGTTGGTAGCAGCATAAATGGAGAAGAGAGGATAGAGGAGGAATGATGGAAAACGTGGATTGAGCCAGTGGCCATTTTTAATAGAATCTTTATATTTTCCTGCCTGAGTTAAAGTAGTGGACGGGCAGGCTTGAGGGAGCAAACCAGGAGGCCTTTTTCGGCAGTGATGTTATTGAGAGCCCTGGTTGACGTCCAGATGGAGTGTCAGCTAGGACAGGTGAGAGCTGGGGCACAGGTGGGAAGCGCCCACATCTAAGTGGCTTGAGAGGCCTGGAACCAGAGCAGGTCTCCTGGGCAGGAGTGTGGATGGAGAAGGAAGGGGACGGTCCAGAACCCTGGGGCCTCCCACATGGAGAGGGCTGCCCAGAAGGGGTGATGCGGAGGATCTTTCCTTCCCGTGGGGGTTCTGGGGTGGAGAAGGCGGCCTTCCGGCCAACCTGAGGGCTCAGAGTCGGTCTTCCCCTCACAGACACCACCACGGGACCTATGCAGGCATGGCTCCCTCCCCATCAGGCGCAGGTCTTGGGTTCAGGTCACACGGGGTGGGAGGCACGATGCTTCCCAGGACGACGGGGGTCACCTTGTCCCCGCGTCAGCACCCCGTGTGCCCTCCCTGTTCTCTGATGCGGCATCTGTGTCAGTCAGTCCCCACCAGGTCTGGAGCCGGAGGCAGAGCACAGGATGGCGGCCCTCCAGCAGTTCTCCAGATTGTACACGGACCCCGTGCAGCTCGGGAAAGACATCTCTGACAGCACCAAGCTCAGGGTCATGGCTTTGGGCTCTGCAGGATTCCAGAGAACCTGATAAAGGCGCTGCTCAAGACACACGTCAAGGAAGTAGCAACGTGGGGGTGGATGACTTTTGGGCTGGGCATTCTCTTGGAGACCAAGCAGATCCCCCATATCATTGGCTCCGATGCAGGGGAGAACTTGCTGTGCGAGCACCCAGTACCTGTCGCGCTGAGGCTGGAGCTACCTTCCCAGGGCTCCCTGAGGGAGTGCATCCACAACGGGGAGGGGGTGCGGGAGGCAGGGCCCTGTTCTATAGGCCCACAGCCTACAGGACCCTGGTGCAGGAGGGAGGCGCCCCCATCAGGTTCTCGCAGGAGGCCACATGGCCTTCAAGAGCCAGTGTGGAGAGGTGAGGGACTTTCTCGGGGATCTCCATCTTCCGGAGCTGCCATCTCAGCCACGTTTGCTTTGGTGAAAGGGTGGAAGGCCCACCACGGAGGAAACGTTATCTTCAGAAGAAGCGCCAGGAGTTCCAACGTGCCCACGAGCAAAGCTGCAGAAACCTCCGTGGTGGGGACGGATGAAGCTGCGGGTGTGGGCATGTCTGCCCCGGAAGACGTCCAGGTTCCTAACACTGATGCGACCGTCATCTGGAGGGAAAAATATGAGAAATGAATTGAGCATCTCATGGTGCAGACAGAGGAAGGTGAAAAGCCAAGTGTGTGGGTGACCCCCGGGCCCGGATCATCACACGAGCAGCTCTTGAACACGAGGATGGCATGTGCGCCACCTGCGGCGTAAGAATCCCGCTCCTGCCCAGCAACTACATCAGCCCGGAGGTAACTGTTCATCTTCACCGTGAAAATGGGATCCTGGGCTTGGGTCCGTTTCCGTTAAAAGAGGAGGCAGATGCAGATCTCATCACTGCGGGTAAGCAGACGGTCACCATTTCCCCCGGGGGCTGTTTTTTCTTGTGCGAAGACTCGTCTGCAGTAATTCGAGGGGACACCTCCACCTCGCTGTGCTGGGAGCCGTGCACGTTTCCTGTCTGGTGACAGGCTAACCGGGTCACCCCCGGAAAGAAGGGGAGCAGCCTGGAGGGAGCCGTGGATTTGGTGTCCAGCGCCAAGGCCAGAACGGTGGTCACCATGCAATGCCACACCAAGGACAAGGAGCCCCACGTCTTGGAGAAATGCACCGTGCCGCTGAGCAGGGCGCTGTGCGGACCGAACCATCCCCAAGAAGGCTGTGTTCCAGGTGCACGGGAAGAAAGGCCCCCCGCGGATTGAGGTCTGGGATGGCCTGATGGTGGACGACGTCAAAAAGAGCTCGGGCAGCCCTTCGCCCTGTCCTCGAACCTCAGACCCATGCAGCAGGTGGCAGCCTGAGCCGGGAAGGAAGCCCCGGTCACAGAGGGTGGGTTTTAGTGGAAACCAGAGGAGGTCTGGTCGCCTCTGTCCATGGCGCTGGCTGTCTGACAGCTTTCCCACCGCCAGACAGACGATTCTGCCAAGAGGGATATGGCTTTAATTAAAAACCAAAGGAGAATGGAGCCCTTTATCTTGTTTGTTCTGTGCTTCCCAGAATGGTCTAGTACCGTCGTCGGGCGCTTTGAATGCCGACCTCACAGTGCTGTTTTCATGACATTGTGTGCAGCTCGAATGAGCCCACGGGACGGCTTTCACAGAAGGGCCTCCCCTTGTGAATGAGTCAGGAAACGTGGGGGGATGGTGAGGAAGGAATGACCACCCCCATACCCACAAGGCCCACTTTGCGAGCACCGTACGCCCCATGACCTGGGGGAGGATGGGTGAGCTTGTCTTCCTGCGGCCCCTCTGACTTTTCCTCTGGGGCCTTCCGTCCTCTGGCTAAATTCTGTGTCCCTGTAGCCTCCCCTCTTCCTCCCTGCATGTCCTCCTCCTCGTGGCTAAATAGATGTGTCTGGAAGGACCACAAGGCTGTCTTGCTGGGCCAGAGCACTGGCAACGCAGTGACAAGGTTCCCCTGTCGATCAGCCGTCCCCCTCCGTGTGCTGTCGAAGGCTGCGGCTTGTGGTAGGAGGGGTTCTAGAAACCTAAGACAGACTTCTGGGTTTTCTCATCCCCAGGCATGGAATTCCTGTGTTGTCCAGGACACTCAGACCCTTTCTGCCTGTTGTGGAGCCCTAAACTGGCCTGTTGTCACTACTTATAACACAAGAGAGGCCATGGGGTGTTTCCTCCTGAACGTAACGGGTTCATACACATGCCTGTGCAGCCATGTGCAAATCCAGATGTGTACGTGTTTGTGAGGTAAAAAAGCCTGACACAGAGCACGATGCATGTTCTCAGTGTGGCTCTCGTGGGCATACAACCAACAGAGCAGGTGGGTGAGAACTAGAGATTCTAGCTGGTGAAGGAAGGCCTTTCAGGGAGGCCTCCTTGGAGCCTCGCCCCGAAGGAAGGGCCAGTTCCTGGAATGGAGGGATGGGGACACCACTCCCAAGGGGCAGCCTGAGGGATGGGGGGTTAGTGGCCAGGGACTGGGTTGGGTGTGGCATGGAAGGGCAACAAGTGGATGGATAGTGGGGCACCTTTGGGGGCTTCTGTGGGGGCACCTGATCTGCCCTGGGCGTCAGTTTTCCAGCAGCAGTGTGGACAGGCAGAGCTCCCCAGGAGCAGACAGTGAGACGTGTGAAGATGGTAGGAAGAAGGAGGAGGGTTGAGTTCCTCGTTCTCCCGTGTTGAAGTAAGCAGGGGGACAAAAGCAGACTGGATCCATAGCTGGGATTCTCCGAGGGTTCAGACAGGCACCCCAGTTGTCCTTCAGCCTGGCACAGGGTCACCTCCGTGACCACAGGCTGAAGTGGGGCCGGGTCTGTGGGAAAGAGCCAGATGGCGCCCAGAGCAGGAGGCCTGGGGTAGAGGCGGGAGTGATCTAGGCCTGGCACAGTTTAGGGGGGTGTGAATGAGGCCTTGAGCACCTGCCCGGGACAGGATGGGGCAGGCGAGCTGGCAAGACCTCTGGGCGCTGATGGAGCAGACTGAGAAGTGGGGAGAGGCTGGAGGACTCATGGGTGCCCCCGGCCCAGAGAAGCAGCATGTTCCATCAGGCCGAAGGGGAAAGGCCACAATGTGGCCCACGCTCTCAAGCATGGCTGCACACACCTGTCAAGTGCAAAGGGGCCTGCCAGCACCCTCACAAGGTCAGGTATAGAGGCGGGGACCCTGGGCCCCAGAGGCTCCCACCTCTGCCTTTCTAGAAGGCAGCCTTCCAGTGCCGGGCAGCCTAGGCCATCACCAGCTAGATAGCTCAGGCCTTCCCTGCAGCCCATTCTCTGCCCCCGGGAAACCCCAAGAAGATCCTTGATCAGACGGGCACACAAGGAAAGTGAATAGTGAACACAGCCTCAGACGAGATTGCCCTCCCTGGCTCCTCGGTAGGCAGTTCTCTCCAGGGAAGAGGGACAGGACAGCGGCACCCGCAGGGGTGGAGTGCTGCCCAACCCAGGGTCATGGAGTTCCACTCCAGTGCCATGCTGACGACCGTCACCCTCCTGCTCTCATCCACTCTGGGCTCCTCGTGGCCTCTGGCATTGCCCCTCTGCTCACAGGCCTTGTTTGTGTCTTGTGGCTCCGTGTCCTTGTGTTTCTGCTGCTTCCTCGTGGCTGACTTGCTGTGACCCAAACTCTTCCGAATGGCTTCTCTCTGGGCTCCTTCCAGGGTCAGCTCCTGAAGGACCTCCTGTCCAGCAGGATTGTTCCCAAGTGAGCCTCTAATGGGTCCAGGGCATTTGTGTGTGGCAGGTGATGTCATAGGTCAGAGTTCAGTCTCGGGATTGATTCGTTGTTCAGTCATCTTGGCCCAAGGACATGGGCCTACAGCACAGCTATTGAAGGGCTGACCTTTACCAGCTGAGCAGGACTGTGGGTGGGGCAGGCAGTGACTCATAATAGACCCACTAATGGAGCAAACATAGGTATTTGTACATGTGGACATCTGTATACTGTATGATAAACACATGTATTTCTATACATAAGTGTGTGTGTGTCAGGGTGGCCACATCGAGTGGACAGGGACATGGAAGGGGAGCAGTTGGCTCTGCATGTTATGAAGCATAAAACTGAGTTAGTAATCCTCTCCTGTTGTTTAAGGAAATTCCACAGGAAGAGAAAATGAAGGGGTCTGTGGCACTCTCGTCTTCACAGTGGAAGCCAGGAAATAACTGACGTGTTTAAAGTGAAGCTAATATCTAAATATTATGGTGTATTTTCTCAAAGGATTTTATACATTTGAAATGCTCTTTGTGGAGACATTTTAACAGCAGTGAATGTGTTTATATGAAAAAGTTGGTGACACTCATGGTCACCATTGTGTAAAACTTCAATTGACATGAAAATATTCCAGAAATATGAAAATGCTGTGTTGGAGTGTGGAGAAATTTCAGGGATTTTTTTTTTCTCAAAGGTTACTTTACAGTTGCTACTGTATTACTTGGACAATTAAAAAATCAGGAGGCAGGGAGCCTGGTGGCTCAGTCAGTTGAGCAACTTGGCCAACTCTTGATTTTGCCCCAGGTCATGATCTCAAGGTTATGAGATCAAGCCCCACATGGGTCTCTATGCTAAGCTGGGAGTCAGCTTGAGACTCTCTCTCCCTTGTCCTCTGCCCCTCCCCAGTCAAAATAAATAAATAAATCTTAAAAAAAATCGGGAGGTCCTTTGGAAATACAAAGAGGTACAGGAAATTAGTTTTATTGGTGGAGTCGACATTTCCAGGGATCATGTCTATGTTTCTTAAGGCAATCTCATCTTTAAGCAGCTTTGGGACCAAATCCCATTATCACGGGCATCCCTCTTCCTAGCCAGAGGCCCCCGTTTTTCGCTGCCCACAGTCTTTTCTCTCTTTTTTGACCCACAAACCTGGGGTTAACTCTTAAGTGAATAAGAACTTGGGGTCTGGAATTAGACGTGGGCTGAACCCCCGCTCTAGGACTTTGGCCTGATGTCGCGGCCCTGCTGTCCCCAGTGTCCCGTTTGTGGGCATCAGGGGACACTTAAGGCCCTGCTCTTGGGAGCAGCAGGCAGAACAAGCCCTCACTATGTCCTGGCAGCTGCTCCCATCTGCTGGGACACAATCCATCAAGTCCTCCGAAAGTATGGGGTGGGCGGGAGAACTCTGGCTTGGAGCTCTCAGATGGCTGTGGGAACCACGGTTCTGTGCTCCCCTGGTGGTGTGACTCCAAAGTTTCTCCGTGAAGCATGTGGTCCAGGTTATTGTGGAGACACACGAGGTCACAACTGGGAGTTGCTCAAACCAGTAAAGGGCTTCACAGATGGCAATGTTGACCACTGTCACAAATGACGACCCTGTGTTGGCAAGGCCTCCCCCCTCCCCTATCTTCCTTGGACCATCTCCCTTGGGTCTCCAGATGAGGAAACTGAGGCCCTCCGCCTCCATGCGCCAGAGCCCGTGCAGGCTCTAGTGGAAGGGTCCCCGCTGTCCCCTGTGCCCGGGCCTGCCCGTGAGTGACCGCCCTCTCCTCTGTCTCCATCCCAGGGCACAGCGTGGATCCTGGCCAGGCCGGTCTGCTGGGGCGACAGGCGCCACGCTCCAAGCAGCCTTTCCTGGTCACCTTTTTCAGGGCAAACCCCAGTCCCATCCGAGCCCCTCGGGCAGCCAGGCCCCTGAAGAGGAGGCTGCCGAAGAAAACCAACGAGCTGCCGCATGCAAACAGACTCCCAGGGATTTTTGGTGAGGTCCAGGGCAGGCCTGGGGCTGGGTCCCAGAACAGCTCTGGGGGACAGAACCCTCCAGGCCCCCTGTAGGTTCAAATCTGTGCTTACCCTCCAACACTTTCCCAACACCCTCCTTTGTCCTGTGTGCCTTGAAGACCAGCCACTGCCCTCTCTGTTCCTGCCACCCAGAAGCACCTTCTCAGACCTCCCCTGGCTCACCAGGGCTTTTTCCAGAAGTCTTGTCAGCGCTAGGTGCCCCTTCCTCCAGGCACTGGTGGCTCTCAGGTCTCCCCTGGAGACCCTGAGGACCCACTGTTGTTTTCTCCCCACCTGACCAAGTTCCTTGGGATCGGGGTGGGCCTGCCCTCCTTTCCTCCATGGGGAGCAGCCCTTTGGCCTCCATGGAGCCACTCAACCGGGTGGAATGGGTGCGGCAAAAGAGGTGTGGGGAGGTCAGAAGGTATCTCTGCAGAGGAGGAGCCGCCTGATGGCCTGGGCCCCCTTGGCCTCTTTATTGGCGCCTTTAGAGCCACAGGTTGGAAGTCAAAGGAGGCTGGGCTCAGTGCAGGGTTACTCCGTAGCTGTCGGGAGCCACCTGGAGCCATGGAAGTTTCTCGAGCTGGGTCAGGGCACCAGCAGAGCTGCAGGATGGACTTATGACACCACATGCCTTAGTTCCTCTTCATTCATTTTATTCAACAAATGTGCCCAGTGGGGTGTCCCCGCCCTGGGAGCCACCAGGGGTAGCTACGTGAGCAGGAACCCCAGAAAAGACCTGTGCTTCTGTCCCTGCAGACGATGTTCACGGCGCCCACGGCCGGCAGGTTTGCCGGCGGCATGAGCTCTACGTCAGCTTCCAGGACCTTGGCTGGCTGGTAATTTCTTTTTCTTTTCTTTTCTTCTTTTTTTTTTTTAAGATTTTATTTATTTATTTATTTGACAGAGAGAGAGAGGGTGAGAAAGAGGTCACATGTTGGCAGAGAGGCAGGCAGATAGAAAGGGAGAAGCAGGCTCCCGGCTGAGCAGAGAGCCTGATATGGGGCTTGATCCCAGGACCCTGGGATCATGACCTGAGCCAAAGGCAGAGGCTTAATCCACTGAGCCACCCAGGTGCCCCTGGCTGGTAATTTCTGACTCTCCTCCTTCTTAAATGACAGTCCCCACCCCAAGATCCTAAGTGTAGCTCCAGGAGGAGGTAGAATTATGGGTGATTTTCATTTTCTCATGCATTAGGTTCTTCTGTGTTTTCTGAAGGGAAAATGTCTTACTTTTATCGTGAGAAGTGGTTTTTGGTAAAAACCATGAAAAGAGGGATAGTTTGAATCCTCGGCCCTAATAGGTCAGATCTGCAACAGGAAAACGGAGGCCGTGGTGGGCAGTGCGCCTGCGCACCTGCTGGGACTGCAGCTCTAGGAGGCGTGGTCAGTGGGGGCAGGTGGGGAGGACAAGGCCCGGGCTGACTGCACATGAGGGGGACAGAGCTGTGCCCAGCCCCACCTGCTGAGAGTCTCCTGGTGGTGCCCAGCCTCTTGGGGGAGCCTGTCTTAGGGACCCTGCGGTTGGCTGACTGGCCTGGGGCTGGGGGATGGGTGCGGGGCAGCCCCGAGCCATCCTGTGCCGGGTGCTAGATTCAGGAGCTCAGGAGGGGGCATCTGGATGGGACTCACCTTCTCCCCTTACACCCCCAGGACTGGGTCATTGCCCCCCAAGGCTACTCGGCCTATTACTGTGAGGGGGAGTGCTCGTTCCCACTGGATTCGTGCATGAACGCCACCAACCACGCCATCCTGCAGTCCCTGGTCAGTACTGCGTCTGTCTGGTCCGGCTCCCGGGGAGGGGGGTTGGCACAGCCGGGTGAATGGAAGCCTCTGCCAGGGGGTCAGGGGGCTCTCTCTGCCCAGAAACTTCCCTGCACACATGAGCAGTGACGGCCCGTGCCTGGAGGGAAACGGGTGCCTGTATGGCCATGGTGGCCGTGTAGACGCCTATGCACCTCAACCTGCATATACCCTGCTGGTGCACACCAACCTCTGTGCACTGCACACACACGTGTGAGGACTCCACAGACAGTATGTGGGTACCCAGATTTACAAGACATGCTTGCTCATGGTCAGACACATGGCACTTGCGTAACAGACGTGCATCCCTCCTGGGGCCCATGTGCTCCGAACACACACATCACTGTGTGCACATGAGTGACACGCATGTGCGCTCAGCCACCTGCTGCATGTGTGTGCAGGGAGGGGCGCGGGTGTGTCTCTCTGAGTTTCTGGGCTCCGGCCTCCCCTGTTCACCTCCCCGCTGTCACTTTTTCCCTTTGTGCTTTCCGCAGACGGTATGGCTTCGGGAGCTGTGGCCGGGGTACCTTCACAAGCTGCCGTTGATTGCTAAGTGTTTTAAATGTTTGTTGGTTCTAGGGTTGAGATTTCTTTCTAGAACATTTAGGTAGAATCCACCCCATGTTAATCTAGTAATAGGTGACGTGATGCTTCTGAGCGAGAGTAAACGTGTTGGCAACAGCAGCTTTGACCCTGTGGTGACACTGCCTTTCTCAGACCCAATGGGACTTGCTGCCCCCAGGAGCCCTTTCCTGTGAGAAGCTCGGGAGTGATGAGATGTGTGTGCTTCCTCTGGCCCACGGGGGCAAGTGGGTGATGGTCACCCACGTCAGGATGGCTGGGTGGACTCAGGCTGCAGCGCAGTGGGGGGGCAGCTGGGAAGGTGATGCTGGGGTTGGGCAGGGGCTGGTGCACAGGGGCTTATGGTCCCACCTAGGATGCTGGGTGGGTGGATTGATTTCCAAGGAAACTGAGAAGCTGGTGCAGGGTTTTAGCAACACAGGTCAATGATCTGACTTACTCTAGAAGTAACTGGCAGCATCACGCAGATGAATGGGGTTGAGGGTGGGGCAGGCGGGGAGCCGAGTGAGGGGCTGCTATGGTCACCCGACAAGGGGTGGGGGCAGCTGGTGGAGGGTGGAGGTAAGGCTGCTCATGGGCATGGGTGTGGGGTGGGAGGAACCCAGGAGCCTACAGGTGAGGGCCATGTGAAGACAGGGATGGGGAGCCTTGTCAGGGGCACAGTCGTTGCTGGGGTACGAGGTGGAGGGGGGACAGCAGTTCTGCACCAGCTGCACCATAAGATTGGGGTCCAGTTAGATCTCAAGCAGGGCTGCCGGTGGGAAACCAAACCGACAGATCTGAGATCAGAGAGGTGGCCAGGCCGAAGCTCTGTGAGAGAGGGGCATGTGGCCAGGCTTCACGTTCTCGGAACAGATGAGCTCCTCTGGGGAGCTCGCAGACACTGGAGAGGTGGCTAGGACTGGCCTCCTCTGTGGGGATGCCAGGGCAGTGATGGGGGTCTTGGGGTGTCTTGGGGGCCAAGAGAAGGAAGCATTTCCCCCTGGGCTCATCCTCCCAGCCCTTCTCCACACAGCAGCCACTAAAGCACAGCTGAGCACTTTGTTCTCAGCTGAGAAACTCGCCTTGCCTCCCATCATTCCCCGGGGGAAGGCTGAGCCCTTGGCCTAGGACACAGAGCTCCTCACGAGCCACCCTGCTGACCTCGCCAGCATCCCCATATTCCCCAGTGTCCTTATCTCCCTGCACAGGCCTAGTGCCAGGATGGCCTGAGTTTCCCACCTTTCTGGCTTTGCACTTGCTGTTCCCTCCACCTCGAAGGCCGCCTCCCCCGCTCTGGGCCCAGCTACCACCTGCTTACCTGCACACCTCGTGTGTGTGGCCCTTCCCTGTCAGGTGCAGTCACCATGCTTATGCTCCCAGTGCTGAGAACCTGTGTGCTGTGCCAACCCCCATGGGTCCTGTTTGTCCACTGGAATGTTCCCTGTCTCTCCTTCCTCCCCACTGAGTCTGTGAGAGTAGTGACCATGTCTGGGACATTTCTGTGACCCATCCTGGCAGAGCTGGCACAGGATACATGTTCTAGATATGTTCGTGTTGGAAATGAGAAAAGAACCATTATATTCATTTGGCAGAGAAGAAAATGAGCCCCATAGATGCGTGATTTGTACCCAAAAATGCAGAGCCAGTAAGTGACCCTCCAATTTGGTCTCCCAGAGGCTCAAAGACAGGCTGAATGGAATGGCACATTAGCCTCCACAGATCATTCTGTTTGGTGCCAGATAGGGTAAAAGGCCTTCTTTCTGTCACTTAGCTAACAAAGCTCTCGTCTGGGGGGAGTCTCAGGAAGGCTGCACCCCTGCAGTGCCTGACTTCTCCCCAGCACTCCAGTGCAGGAAAGGCCCTCCCTGGTTTCTAGACATGTGGAGCCCCACGGCTGGTGCAGGTGGGCCGGTGTCCCCCGGTTTCTTCCACACGGACCCACGAACACCAAGCCCCGCCCCGCACCTGGAGCTGCCAGACAGGTTGCCCCCAGCCAGCTTTGTCTGAGTCCCACTAGGCAGGCCCCGAGAGGCCCAAAGTCCTGGGCTGCAGGGTGGCCACCACCCCTGGGTGTGTAGGCTTCATCTTCTCTCCTGCCCACCTCCCCACCTTGGCCACCTCCCTGTGGGGGGCCCCAGACCGGAGTGACGGGTAGTGCAGCCCATCCTGCCACTGCTCAGGAGAACTATTTTTAGGAGGCTGAGAACAGGCCACTCCTTCATGCAGGCTCTTTGCTGGCAGTCAGGCTGTTAGGAGGGTCACAAGTCCCCACACCTGGTCCCCGTCCTGCCACTGAGAGCCACGTGACTCGGCACCATGTGCAGCTTCCACACGCTCGGTCTCTGTCTGCCCACAACAGAGCTGCCTTGGAGGTCATTGTCAGGGCTGGGATGTGCTTTGAGGAGGAAGAGCGCTGGACACTCTGGGGGTGGACCGAGGATTCTGGGCTTTGTTTGGTTATGGGAATGTTCACTGGCCCACATTTGGGAGGGGAGACAGATGGCAAACAGCTAATGGGGACAAGAGATAATGCAGACACATCATGAAAGCACAGAGAGAGGAGCAGAGGGGTCCCCGGAGGGCTCCTGGGCACACCATGTGCTGGGGTGTTCTGTCTGAAGGGAGTGGGTGGGCCCTAAGGGCAGCGGGCCAGGGCAGGGGTGCAGGGGCACAGGGTGGGGTGGGTCCCTGCATGAGCACCTGCCTGCACTGCAGGCAGGGGACAGAGCAGGGGAGGGTTAGTGGCCGGAGACTCTGGGGCCTGCGAGGGCGGGGATGCCGGGGCAGGGCCACCATGTTCACGCCTCTGCCTGCCCCCGCTCCGGCCAGGTGCACCTGATGAAGCCAGATGCAGTCCCCAAGGCATGCTGCGCCCCCACCAAGCTGAGCGCCACCTCCGTGCTCTACTACGACAGCAGCAACAATGTCATCCTGCGCAAGCACCGCAACATGGTGGTCCGGGCCTGCGGCTGCCACTGAGGCCAGTGCCTGCCGCGGGGGGGCCCCCCCGCCCAGGACAGGCCCCTCTCCAGAGCCAGGAAACCCTCAAACCCAGCCAGATTTCCGGCGGGTTGGCCCTCACCAATCAATGTATCTGTGCTCCTCTCTCCTTCCTGCCAGGGCTGGATCTTTTCCAGGCCCTTCTGCCCCCTTCCCTGCCTGAGGTTTGTGACAGTCTCTTGGCCTCCAGGCCTGGTGGTCTGAGTCATCAAGCAGGTTCTCTCCCAGCCGCCGCCTCCAAAAGCAGGTGCTGCCCAACATTTTGCATTTGGAACAAAAGTCTGAGGGCCTATTCTTGTCCATTGCTGGCCCAGGCTTCGGGTAATATGGGGTGAACTGAGAAGCACCTGGGGCCCCAAATGGCTACCTCGGGCTCTTCACGGTTCAATTCAGGGCATGGATATGTGTAGACATGGTCTAGTCCACCTCCGGTTGCCTGCCCCTCCCAGGCATTTTCTGGGCACTTTTGTTAGAATGTGGACTTGCCCTCATTGTTGTGTCATTGCGGATCTGAACGATTAGCCTGCTGGGAGGCATGTGGGTCGACTCAAGAATGAGCTGGATGAACAACATGATGTAGGGCAAAGGCCAATGGCATCTGTCTCCCCCCATCTTCCTGCCTTGATCTGCCTCTGCTGTCTGGGGAAGAAGTGCCAGGCATGGACATTTGACCTTTGTAGAAACAAAAAATTTGGAGGGCCTCATTCGCCTGTCACCACGTTGAATCATGAGGAGCTTAGCTCCCTGGAGAAGTTACCTTTTTATTGAGCCTAGCAGGTGGATACATTGGGTGGTCCAGGAGGACAACGCTCAGCACAGATGACATCATTCCACTTTCCCTTTGGCTGGCAAACATCAATCACCAAACATGATATTTTTTCTTTCCAAACCTGTATAGAATTTCAAAATGATCCATATTAAAACTCTACACAACCACTGCCAAGAGATCAGAGTTGACACGTGAAGTAAAAACTGTTTGCCATCTTCTGGCGTGCTAAGGAGCGATCCCTTTCATCCACAGCCACACCTCTGTGACCCTGGGCAGCCTGTGGCCAGGGCTAGGGCCTCCCAGCACCTGCTTATGTCCAGAAGTTGTCAGAAACAGGCTGTCATAATCTGTACCACCCTGTACGCCCTGGAGCGCCGTCCTGTTTCTCAAGACCTGTGAGCCAAAGAAAAGGCCCCTGTCCCAGGGGAGTGACAGGTAGTAATGCGGCTGGCCCTGGGTGGGGAGGTTCCCGGAAACCACTGTTCTCCTTGGAGCAGCCACCGCAGGCAGCTGGGCTGTTTATTTGATTTCTGACTTGCTAAGCCTATAATTTACCTGCTGGCACAGAGTCCAGCTGCCCAAACCCTCAAATACTGTCATTAAAAGCAGTTCATGGGGCTGCCCCACCCCACAGGCACAGCCCAGCCGAGGTGGAGCCCCCCCATGTGCCCAAGGATGAGTCCTTCAGCAGTCATTCCACACCCCGAGGAGGGGCCCGGGACAGCAGGTGTGGACGCTGGGGCCCTGCTGCAGGACAGCGGCCCCTCCACAGGGACCAGGAGGCGAGTCTGGAGTGAGCACAGACGGAGACCCTCCCTGTACACAGAGGTTGGGCCCAGACTCTTGACAAAGTGGTGAGTTCCCCATCAGTGCAGGGATCTAAACTCTGGCTTAGAGGTTAGGAAGACCAGACTCATAGGTGGCTTCTCCCTTTGGGCCTCATTTTCCATCCGTACCTGAAGGCAGTGGGCTTTTTGGGTCTCCAAAGGGCCTCCTGCCAGGAATCTGTCTGCCAGCCCTTTCTCACACTGTGCCCAGAAACAGCCTCATGATCCTGAACTTGGGGGTCCAGTGGCAGTCAGATCAGAGTTGGTATATAATAGGGAACCTGTTTGCCATTCTAGTCCTTTGACGCTTCTGTCTTCCTAACATCAAGGACTGTCCTTTAGGCAAATATAAATTTAACATTAGCCAATTACTTTAACTATTTTTTACTTCACCTGGTATGTTTTGTGCCCAGCCAACAGCCCAGCACAATTCGGGGTGCACCAGGAATGTCTTGTCAAATCACTCAAAGGTTGATAGACTAGGAGTGCACCTCACCTGTCAGGGTGAGCATGGCACGAATGCCTGGAGGTTGTCACCCTCCTTTTGCATGCCCAACACCTGAAGAGTAAGCCTTTGCCTGCCGACCTGGGTCAGACTTACAGCAACTGTTGCCATCCACGCCGTCACTGAACGAGATTGCACAGAAAAAGCCCTGAGCAGAGAAACAATTGTGAATGGATATAAGGCCCACGCATTTTATCCCGTTTACTGCAGGATCCTGCACGCACTCACTGCATGCTGTGTACTCCCAGTCACCTTTTGCTGAGCCACGCACCGCAGCTGCAGGGAGTGGCCCGCACGCCACCGTTTCCCTCTCTCTTGCTCAAGGCATGGCTTATCTGGGTGCACGGGACCAGAAGGATAAATACGGGCGGTTGGTTAGACGCACCAACAGCTCTGAGGAGTCAGCCAGGAAGGGGCGGGGGCTGTGGGAAAAGGCTGAGAAGAAACGCAGCGGTCAGTCTTGGTTTGGGCAGTGCGAGGCTGGCCTCGAGGCCAAGTCCACGCATCAGGGTTCACAGTTTTCTAAGGTGGGGAAGTGACCCATTATGGAAAAATCCCTAAGAAATAGAAAAAGAGGCAGCATAGCAAGAGGACAGAATTTTGAAGTCAAATGGGTTTGAATCCGTTTTTCTTTTGTGGAGCAAGGTATTGGTTCTTTCCTTCCAGGCTACTACAAACATATGGACATTCACATTTAGGACAATGTCTGCCATCTGAACACTTAGCAACAGGCACCTGTTGGCATCATTACAAAAGGATTTACTGATTTGCTTAGCCCTTTCCATGTTTGTCCACTAAACCTCCTCCCAGAAAGTGTGCTGTAGGTGGAGTATTTATTTCAGAGTTGTGCTTTTTCCTGGAAAATCTAGACCCTGCAATCTGTGGAGGGAAGACCTTGTGTTCCCACTTGCTTTCAAGGCCTAAGGAAAATGCCTGGTTATGGCCAAGGCTGTGAATATTTCCCTGTTTTCCCAGAGACAAGGGGAACCCACCAGTCTCCTGAAGGTACAAAGCTTGACCCACCTTTTAAAAAAATGGGTTTTTCCATTTATTATAAAAATAATGCAGTTTTGGAGGAAAAATTGGAAAAAAAATGCAACTGAAATCACAGTTGTATGACTCAAACACACTTAATATTTTGGTGAATTTATTTCTAGGCTTTTTTCTTAGCATATACACATACAGATGTTTATATATTATAGACAGATATTTTTACAAAATTGGGATCATACCGTCTTCTATAAATTGTTTTAAAATATGCTTTTCCCACTTCATTATGCAGTAAAAAAAATTTTCCTGTTAATAAATGTTTTTTGAAAACATGGCTTTTTAGATTTTTAACCCCCAAAGCCTACGAGACTCAGTGTTCACAACTAAAAAGTAGGTCCCTAAATGCCTTCCTGGGAGGGTTGCTGCAGGCTGTCATGACTGGCACCTAGAGCCCACAGCACCTGAAGGCAGACGTGCTGTCTGAGAGGGAGCTCCAGCAGCCGCAGGCCTGATCTCAGGGCCACAGCCCAAAGGAGTCTGCACAGTGGCAAAACCCAGCCCTGTTTGCCACAATGGAGCGACGTGCACACAGACCAGGCCACCCTGGATGGGAGCCAGGCAGACCAAGGAAGGCACTCTGCCCTTTGGGCCATAGCAAATGCTGCCTGGCACCTTCAGGTCCACTTCTGTCAGTGCAGAGACTGTCCACGGAACAGGCTGGTGCTGGGCTGTGACAGCCAAACCAGGCCGTGGGGCCACTCCTCCCCGGGCCCCAGGCCCCTCCTGCCTGGCAGAGAAGAGCGTGGCTTCCTTGGGTCTCTCCAGAGGATCCAGACTAATTACAGGGACCATGACTGTGTCCTCCCCTAGGGCCTTGGGCCCCTGCCATAGCCTGAGGCTAGAGCCCAGTAAAACTCCCAGGACCACATTAAACTATGGGGAGGCAGGCCAAGCTTCCTATCCCAGCTCTGCCATATTCTGGGTGACTTTTGCAGCATGTCACCCGAGCCTTGGTTTCCCTCTGTATAGAGTTCCACTGTGGATACGATGATAATACCTGTGGATACTCCGGAGCGCACTGGGAGGGACAGTGGTGCCCAGTGGGTGCTAACAGAGAAGAAGAGAAAGCAACATGGTCATTGTCACAGAAGTTAGTCCCCTCTTGGGAGGTGGCCATGCTATGCCCTTTAAACACAAACTCTCCTAGTGACTGACCTGTGATGGCCAGCGTTTGCCCTCACAGTGGAGGCCTGTGCTTTGGGGGAAGGTCTCCTTTGGGAGCCCCACAGGGCCAAAGGTAACCACGTGGTACATCCTGGCCACAGGGAGACAGAAATCCCGAGCAGGAGCTCAGCTAAGGGCTAGGAGTCTGTTGGGCCCAGAGAAGCCAGAGGCAGGGCAAGAATGTCATCATCCCTCACAGAAGCGCTCCTGGGGCCACCAGGGCCAGGAGGCATCAGGCCTCTCCTGCACCTGGCTTGTCCAGATCTCAAGATGAAAAAGCCCAGCCCAGTGGATTCTGAATGGTCCTAGTAACCCAATCACAGAGAGGTGTCTAGTGGCCGTGGAGCTCAGTCCCTGCTTGGGGCCTTCAGCAGGTGAGGGATTCTCGAAAACCATCTGACTGAGCAGTATGTGGGGACGGAAGTATGTGGAGAGGGAAGGGAGAGAGAAGCCAGCCTGATGTGAGCAGTGGCTGCATTAGAAGGAGCAGAGCTCAGCATGGGGTCGGGCCGTGTCTTTCAGCAATTAGCAAGCTCTTCCTGTAAAGGTCTGAGTAGTCAATATTTTGGGCTTTGAAGCTGTGTTGGTTCATTTTATGTGTCAGTTTGGCTAGGCCACGATAGCCGGTTTTTGGTCAAACACCAGTCTAGATGTTGCTGAGAAGGTACTTTTCAGACGCGATCAATGTCTAAATCTTAGCAGATTGGAAGTAGCACAGATTACCCTCCATAATGTGGGTGGCCCTCATCTAATCAGTGGAAGGCTATTAAGAGAGAAGACAGAGAC